GTAGGGAGTGTGCAGAAGGCAGCTGATCAATGTTTCTCGCTCATCGATGTTTCTAACTCTCTCTCTCTCTCTCTTCCTCTCTGTAAAAAATCAATAAAATATATTAAAAAAAAAGAATAGAATCTACCACGGACTGTGCCACTTCTCCTCTGACATGAGTCATATCAGCGGTCCCCTCCCCTCTGCTCTAGTCCCCAGACGTCCTGGAGCAGAGCGGTGGGAGCAGAAGGACTGAGCATTTCACCCACAGAGGCTGAGTCCCTGCCAGGCCAGGCCGGGCCACGGATGGAGGCTCTGTCTGCGGAGCTGGACGAAATGTGGGACGAGGTGCTGGTGAAGATGGGCTCCTCCAGGAGAACAGGAGAGAAGCTGCGCGCCTGGGTCACCTGGTGTGAGTGACTGGCTCCCGGCTACAGCAGCGAAGGTGCGGCCCAGAGGACTGCCCTCGGCTCCCTGTCCCACCACCCCGCCCCAGGGGCACACACAGACCTTCACCAAGCACTCAGTGCAGGAGGTGTTTCCCCCGAACTAATGGGGTCAACCTGTTCTTTACCTCCAACCTGTTTTTAAAAGGACTCTCCTGGTGTGTTTTTTTTCCCCTTTCCTTAATTGCAGAATATTTTTATAACATACTTTGAACAGAATAAACAGAACCTGGCAAAACAGTTATTAAAGAGCTATAAAACAGTTTCCTCACATTTGCCCTCTTTTATTTCTTCCTCTTTCCGATGGGCCGGGCTCAGCTGGGGCTGGGGTGAGTGAACCTCAGTGAATGAGCTGGGAATTAGTGAGGGGACATCTGACAAGATGCCCAGGAGTCCAGCCCACATCCCTTCGGGCAAATTCTTGCGCAGCCACATTTTGTTAATTTACAGGCTTCAGAGCACTCGGTTCTCAGGTCCCGGGGCTATGGGCTGCGCTGATGTTACAACAGGTGCAGGTGGCCTCTTTTCCCATCACTTCAGGCCCATCACGTCATCCGCCCCCCTCCCCCCTTTCAGATGCCTGCCATCCTTTCCCCTCCCCCCTTTCAGATGCCTGCGCTCCACCATTGGAACCCCATGCCTCTGAGCCTAGCATAGGTGTTGGGAAGGACCAGAGCCAGGGCTGCAGGAAGGCGCTGGGGGCTTTGGAGAAGCAGGAGGGGTTTTTGGAGGTGGGACAGTGGGACCAAGAGGGGCTGGGAGAGTGACCCAGGAGGGAGACCAACTCTGACAACTGCTGCCTTGGGCTCTCGCTGGCCCTGACCATCTCCTGCAGTTGAGCAGAAAAGGGTGCAGCCAGAATGGGCACATGGATGCATCCGTCGTGCTTGTGTCCCTGGGTGGATGGAGGACAGGAATGGGAGCAACTGGGGGACAAGCTGGGCCTCCTTCCTCCCACCTGGGCCCCATGGCAGGCAGGGGTCTGAGCGGTCCCACGCTGCCCAGCCTCCACACGGTGTCTTTGTTGGGGTGGGTGGGCTGGGAGGAGGGCCCTGGTCTGAGGCCTGGGCATCTCTATGAGGGATGAGGGGGGTGGGTATTGAGAAGGAGCTCTTTCCCGTTCTCAGCTGGCCTCACACTCAGACCCTCAGGGTGCCGGACGGAAAGGGAAGTGCCCGGGGCCTGGACACACCACTTCGGCCACCTCCGGTGTGATGTGTCATGCGGGTTTCTCAAGGTAAGCACTGGACATGCTCTGCTGGAACTTCCTCCTGAGCCCTGGGTGGCCGACAAGCTCATTTACTCTGAGGACTCGTGACTAATAATGGTGGGAGCCTTCTCCTTGCCCAGAAGGCTCTGCCTGTAGTGAAGAGAAAAGGCCCACTAGCAGCTGGATCGCCAGTGGAAGGGAGGAGAGCGAGAGAATTGGAGGCAGGGAGCCTTTCTGCTCACTCCCATCACGAAAGAAACATCAATCAGCGCCTCCTGCACACCCCCTACTGGGGATGTGCCTGCAACCAAGGTACATGCCCTTGACCAGAATCAAACCTGGGACCCTTCAGTCCGTAGGCCGACACTCTATCCACTGAGCCAAACCGGTTAGGGCTTATTTTTATATATTTAAATGCCATTTAACAAAGAAAAATCAAACAAAAAAATGAATTCGCGTGTCACCTCTGACACGCAGGTCATAGGTTCGCCATCACTGCTAGCCGGCCCCGTATCGGTGGAAGATGCTGGAGTTGGCAGAGCTGTTTTCCAGAGGGAAACTGATTTGAGCCTCCCACCCACTGAGAGAGGCAGGCAGGGGAAGGACGATTCTCACCACTGGCAAATAAAGCAACTGAGGCCCAGAGAGGTCGAGGATGCGTCCAAGGCCACACAGCCCGATGGTGGCAGAGCCGGGACAGGGAGTCGATTCTTCTCAGACACACAGGCGCAGCCTGAGGACACGGCAAAGGCTCAAGGCCCTGGGGGTGGTGGAGAAGGTGGGAGACTCGGACCTGCGTTAGGGGCTGAACTCCATCCCTTTCTCATAAGTTAGCTGACATCTCAGAGCCTCAGTTTCCTCACTAGTAAAGTGGGGACAATGCCCCTTTTCGCTCACTTAGCGGGGTTATTGTGAGGCTGAAAACTGAGATAATGTGACTGAAGAATAGCTGCAAAAGGCAAAGGCTGCCCACACACTCGATTCCAGGAAGTGAGGGCTGGACTCTCTTCCCACTATTCACACCCTTCCTTTGGGGGAGGCAGCCGGCTCCGAAATAGCCTTCACTTCTGTCCGCCCCCTTCCCCCCGGGATCGGGCTGAGTGTTTTCTTCTTGAAAAACAACAACAAAAAAATCAAAGCAGTTGCAGAAAAACCAAAAGCTCATTTCTGCTTCCCCTCGGCTGCCCCTTGCTCTCCGGGGCCAAGAGGAGAGGATGTAGCCAGAGGCCTGGGCTCGGCTGGGGCCTGGGCGAGTCCTCACTGCCCGGCAAGAGCCATCAGGAGAGACCTGGACAGCCTTTGTCATCTGTCCAGAGGCCAACGCTGGTACCGCTCTGAGGTGTGGGACCCTGGGCTTCCTGGAGAGATGGGGCAGGGAGGCGAGGGGCCTCGCTGTTTCAGGCCAGGCTGCCTGGGAGCACCAGCAAGCCACCCGGATCCGCCCAGAGCAATGCATCTGCCCTCCTACCCAGAAATGCTTTTTCATTTCCACTGACACCTTTCTGGCCATCTGCACAGTGGAGCTGAGAGTCCCGAGCGCCTCTTTTCCCTCTAATGATCAGCAGATGAGTTTCCAGGGCGTGTTTATCTTTGTCTAGAAAGAGACAGACCAGTTTCGGAGGGGAAACAAAACCCGCGGCACATGTGTTGTGCGGCACAGCCGGGTCCCTGCCCCAGGGTGGTGGCTGCCGCCCCACCTCCCCACGCCCCACCAGGGTCTTCCCCTGAGATGGTCAGGTGGGCCCACTGGTTCGTCCGTGTCTCCTCAAATGTGTCTGAGGCTGCCTTCACTCAGCACTTGGCCACGACAGCCCAAGGGCTCCACGGAGAAGCACGGAGCCCACAGCACGGACGAGCTCCGTGTGGATTTTAGACACTTGGGCGCAGTGCTGTCCGCAGCAGCCTCAGACAATGGAAGGTATGTGTCTGGTGTTAATGACCAGGTCCTCTTCCGCAGGGACGGAGGGAGGAACGTGCCAGTTCACGCTCCAGCCCGGTTTCTGACAGTGTCCAGGCTCTGCCCTTTCCTCTGACCTTGCCCTTGTTCCAACCATTTGCCCACGTGGTTCCAGGCCAGCGGCTGCCTTTCATCTGAGGGCTGGCAGCCCAGGAGGCCTCGGCTCTCGAGCTTCCCCAGGTTTAGGGGTAGGACACCGGGCTCGGCGGCCGTGTTTTCACAGCTCTGTCTCTCTGCTGCGTGCCGGACCACAGGCTCGTCTGGGGACTGGAAGCACAGTGGGCGGGACCTTGGCCAGGACCTTCTGCTAAAGGAGCCGGCTGTGCCCAGAGCCTTCCCGCTGCCACCGCGGCGGTCGGTGTCATTCCATTGGCAGCCTCGGATGCTGATAGGAAAGGCCAGCTTCTGAATATGGTATCAAAGGGCTTTCCCTCTACTTTATAATAAAATCATTTTCTACACTAACTACGGAATGTTTACCATCAGCTCTCTGTACACACGCTCACCTGTGTTACTGTGAGGCACTCACCCAAAGGCCAGGTACGCGATGAAACTGGAGGTTACAGACATCTCTCTTAGCACGTGTGGTAAGGGCTGGGCAAAGAGTTACCAGGGAGCATCATGTAGGGAGGGGTTTTGTGTGAGAGGCTTGGGAAGGCATTAGGGGATGGGGAAGAGCAGCTGGCAAACACATCACCTGCCTGGCACGGGAAGGGGGCGGAGAACCCAGGATTCATTCCATTCAATTCATTTGCTAAGTATTTACGGAGCACTTGCCGCACACTGGACACTTCTCGGTGCTGGGAATGCAACAGTGAACACAGCAGGCAGAAAACACGGCCCTCGTGGGACTGGGTTCCTAGAGCTGTGCATGGGCAGCTCCATTCGTCGACTGTGGGCTTCAGGTGCTGAGGTCTGGCTGGACCCCCTTTCATTGGCTCCCATTAAAAATAAATTTCACAACATTCTAAATATTAGGGAACAACAAAAGGGGAACAGTCAGGAAATACAAGCAGCGTTAGGGTTGTCTGGCTCAGATGGTGTCTTTTCTCCCCCATCCTCTTCTCCACACTCTGGAGTTACTGTCCTGCTCTTTAGTGATCAGACTCATGCCCGACCTCCCCAGTTCAGGTGGTCACCACCCTAGAGCTCCCAGGTGTATGTTGACATCTCTCAGGACTTCCCTCATCCTGTATGAAGGAGAGACCTTTAGCCCTCAGGTCGCTACGCATCCCTGCCTACCCGCCTCTCAGACTTCTCCTCCCTTTCATAGAAAGTGACTGCATACTGAAGAGCCAGCAACAAAGATAAAGCCTGAGGAGCAGTCAGTGAAGGAGGAAGCGGGTTGTGGTTGCAAAGGGCCTGGAGGGGCTTCTGAGACGCTGCTCACATTTACTTACTTTATTTATTGAGTGTTTGTCGCGTGTAAGCCACTTTATGAAATTAATTAAACTTACTTTTTTTGGTTGTTTTGTTAATCCTCACCTGAGGATATTTTTCCATTGAGTTTTAGAGAGAGTGGAAGGGAAGGGGGAGAGACAGAGAGAGAAATATTCATGTGAGACAGATCGACTGGTTGCCTCCCGCACATGCCCCGACCAGGACCAGAATTGAGCCTGCAACTGTGTACACACCCTTGACCAGGATCAAACCAGGGACCCTTCAGTTCACAGGCCGACTCTCTATCCATTGAGCAAACTAGCTAGGGCTACACTTACATATATATATATAAAATGTATATTTAATTTAAAAGAGATAATGAGCCCAGTCGGCTTGGCTCAGTGGTTGAGCATCAATCTGTGAACCAGAAGGTTCAATTCCTGGTCAGGGCACATGCCCGGATTGTGGGCTCAATCCCTGGTGTGGGGCATGCAGGAGGCAGCCGATCAATGATTCTCTCTCATCATTGATGTTTCTATTTCTCTCTCCCATTCCCTTCCTCTCTGAAATCAATAAAAATATATTTAAAAAAAAGAGAGAGAGAATTAATGGAAATAGCAAGTATAGATAACTCTTTCCAGAAAGTTTGCTCTAAGGAAAAAATGAGAGGGAGTGGTCTAGAGTGGTTTTTTTTTTCCTCCTTCTCAATTAAAAGAAATAATTAGGACTTATTTGGATGTATGAAAATTTCTAATAAAGAGGGGAGAATTGGTGATGCTGCGGGGAGAGGCAAGAACTGCTGGAGTGGCATAAGAAGGGTGAAGGAGTGGGGTGCAGTACAGGAATGGGGGCAGGCCCCAGGGACAGTCACCAGGGGAGCAGGCAGAACACGAGGTGTGGAGGGGCCCTGATAGGCACCATTTTTCCTCTTGCTCGTGCCTCCTTTGGGGTGCCTGCACCCACACCCTCCCATTCCTATCTAGTCCATGGATTAAATGGACTTTCTGTTTCCTGAAAGGTAGACAGGAACTCGAAGGTGGGAGCCGGTGGCCAGGCCTGTGCCCTCTGGGCGAGGCATGGAGGAGCTTATGGCTGGGCAGGAGGTGGAGGTCCCAGCTTAAAATAGGCTTTGGGGCTTTTCTGTGGATTTTTGCCATCAGACGACACTCCTGTGCTGACTGGCTGGTTCTGGGATGGTCACCCAGCACTGACTCCCTGCTCCTCTGCCCATCCCTGACCCACTTCTGGGGGCATTGCCCGCTGGCCACTCGCCTCTCTCACAGGACCCCAAGGCTCTCCCTGTGAGCAGGGGGAGGGAAGCTTGGCTTCAGGAAGGGTAGGAAACCAGCTTTTAAAAAACACATTCCTTGGCAGGTTAAAAAACATTTTTTTTAAAGTGTAAAGACTTAACCTTTGCTAGGAAATGGCTGCAGTATTTTCTTTAAATGAAAAGAGACCATTGTGAGTCGAACTTTGGAAAATACGCAACATCCTGGAGCTGTTCTCCAGGGCAGTCTCAGGCCTTTCCTCCACATGGCTGCTCCTTGCACAGCTGAAGGGACTGCACCAGGGGACTGGTCCTCAGAGGGGCCATGAAAGTGCTGAGCCCCTCCCAGTTGGGGACCTCGGGCAGAAGGGGCCTCCAGTCGGGACCAGCTCCATAATTTGTGGGGCCCAGTGCAAAATGAAAACACAGGCCCCCAGTTCAAAAACGATTAAGACTTTGCCCGGCCAATGTGGCTCAGTGGTTGAGCATCGACTTATGAACCCAGGCCACGGTTCGATTTCCGGTCAGGGCACATGCTCAGGTTGTGGGCTTGAACCTCAGTGTTGGGTGTGCAGGAGGCAGCCGATCGATGATTCTCTCTATCATTGGTGTTTCTCTCTCTCTCTCTCTCTCTCTCTCTCTTTCTCTCTCTCTCTCTCTCTCTCTCTCTCTCTCTTCCTTCCTCTACCTTCCGCTCTGAAATCAATAAAAGAAATATTTAAAAAACACACACAAAAATGATTAAGACTTTCAAGATGGTGAGAGCAGAGCACCGAGTGCGGGCCCTTGTGAGTGAGGGACCCTGTGTGACCACACCGGGCACAGGCCTGGCCTCCACTTGACTCTGGCCAATCATTCTCATGGTGCAGGCCAACTGGGGATTTTGAAACTTCTCCCTTATCCGTGGTCCGCAAACTGCGGCTCTTTGGCCCCTTGAGTGTGGCTCTTCCTAAGCCTTAGGAGTACCCTAATTAAGTCAATAACAAGAAACCTACCTATATAGTTTAAGTTTAAAAAATTTGGCTCTCAAAAGAAATTTTAATCGTTGTACTGTTGATATTTGGCTCTGTTGACTAATGAGTTTGCTGACCACTGCGGTGGTACCTCCAAGGGCTGGACACGGACCCCAGATGCAGGGCAGCACTCAGGGCTTCCTTCTGGGGTCCCACCCCCAGCCCCGGCTCCCACATACCACATCTGGCAACAATTTCCCAACCTGGCTCTTCGCTCAGGTTTCTTTCCCGTCACATTGCAGAGACCGTGCTCCTCGGTCATGAAAACATTCTGGGTTTAATCTGGGCTTGCTTGTAACCTGGGTCTGGGCAATCAGGGAACACAGAGCAGCTGCGTGCAGTGCGAGGCTCCTTGACGCTCCGTGAGCTGTTTACAAGCCTCCTTACAGGGCCTACTGTAAATAGGAAAGTACAAACACGTGCCGCCTTCGCAGCAAATTAAAACCATCCGCCGCTTCCCCCGAATCCTAACACATAGAGGTTTCTGTTTAGGCAGCATTTACTACCTTGCAGGCTCCGTACAGACCGGCGTAGTTCTCTGCTCAGCCAGGACCATGCATTTGTGCCCCTCCAGGGTGCAGGAGGCCCACCACGTTCCCAAGGTCAGCCTGACCTCACCAGCTCAGACCCTCTCCGCACCTTCACTGTCCAGTACGGCGGCCACTGGCCACATGTGGCTCATGAGCACTTGAACTGTGGGCAGCCTGAAATGAGGTGTGTTGCTCATGTAGAGCACACGCCAGGCTTAGAACAACAACAACAACAACAACAAAGAAGATCGGATATCTCAACCGTTTTTCCATTGATTACCTGTCAAAATGATAATACAGCCATGTGGCTCCTAATGACGTTTTGGCTAATGACGGACTGCTATGCAACACGGTCCTGTAAGATTATAATGGTGCTGAAAAATTCCTATCACCTAGTGATGTAGTTGGTGTAACCTTGTGATACAAAGCATGACTCACATGTTTGTGGTGATGCTGGCGAACAGTGTTTATAAAGTCTGCAGTTGTGGAATGTCCTAGGCCTTCACATTCTCTTGCCACTCACTTACTGACTCACCCAGAGCAACTTCCCGCCCTGTGGGCTCCATGCATGGTAAGTGCCCTATTCTGGCGCACCATTATTTATCTTTTATACAGGATTTTTACTGCACCTTTTTAATGTTTAGATACACAAATACTTACCGTTGTGTTGCAATTGCCTACAGTATTCAGCACAGTAACATGCTGTACAGGGGTGTAGCCTAGGAGCCATAGGCTATCCCATGTAGCTTAAGTGTGTAGCAGGCTGACCATCTAGGTTTGTGTAAGTGCACTCTGATGGTCACACAATGATGAAGTCACCTAAAGACACATTTTTCAAAATATATCCCTGTCATTAAGTGATGCAGGATTGTATGACTTACATAATGAATAAAATAAAGTATATTGTGATGTTAATTTCACATTTCTTGTCTCTTTTAAATGTCGCTACCAGAACATTTAGAATGGAGTACATGGCTTGCACTTGTGGCTTGCCTCGTACTTCTGTTGGCCAGAGCTCCTCCAAACGCTTTCCTTGTTGTCTTTCTGTGTCCAAGCCCCTGTGGATTTCACACGCGCGCACACGCACACGCACACGCACACGACAGAAGGAAAACCAAAAGCAGTGAGATCATATGTCTTGACCCCAAATGCCACCTTCTCCAGGATGACACTTTGGAATGTCCCAGGGCCACCTAACATGACCAGCCCAGAGGAATTTGGCCATTGGTGATCTATCCAGCACACGTTACCAAACACCTACAGTTGCAAGGCAATGTAGCATAGTGATGTCAGAGCGCAGGCTCCAGAGTCTGCGTGACCTGGATTCTAGGCTTGGCTTTACCACTTATGAGCTACATGCCCTTGAATGAGTGACCACTCCGTGCCTTGGTTTTCCCATCTGTAAATGGGAATTCTAACACCCAAGAAGAGGGTCAGGATGGTGATGTCAGCCTCCCAGGCTGGTTTGAGGATGGATAGGATGAGGCACAGAAATCCCTTAGCACAGAGTCATTCACTTCACCATGAGCCTTCTGTAGATAGCCCTGTGCCTGAGCTGGGCCCTGGATTTCGCAGTGATCAGCAATTCTGAAGAAGGAAAAGGCAGGATTGAGGGCACCAAGTAAGTGTGGGAACCATGATCCTGGGAGGCTCCAAGGCAGAGTGGAGAGACCCTGTGCCGGCTAGGACAAAATGCCAAAGGGTAGAACCCAGAAAGGTGTCCAGTCAGGATGCCAACCTGGAAGGCCTGGCATAGGTGGGCTGGAGTGTAGCCAGA